AGGGTCTCACTATGCAGCCTTGGCTGACCCAGAATTCACTATGTAGGCTAGGCTAGTGTCAAGCTCAAAGAGATCTACCTGCCTCTGCCCCATGATGCTGGGATTAAAGGAGTATACCACCACCCCAACCCCATTTAACCTTTTAAAATAAGCTATATCATTTTAAAAGTTGCAGACATTATCCAAAATATTACGAAGAGTAAAAGGGTGAGAATGAGTGTGTGAATGGTGTGAGAGAATTAGTTATTACTAGGTTAAATAGGGTTCTACTAGACCATTCTCAACTTGCAGGCAGGGCAGGGCTGGCTCATGCTCATAAACCAGAATATCCAGTACAGGAATAAGTGCTTGATGACCTCTCTCATGCCAACCTTAAGCTAATTAAACTGCTTATACAATCTGATGGGAGAGCTGTGGTGTCACAGAAATATTTCAGTTGCACATAAACCCATCAAGTTGGTCAGAAATATAATTGCTTAAACACTGACATCACAGCTTTAGCAGATGGTGTCGTCACTTCCTTGTCTGGGAAGATAGAAGCTTAGTTCTCATGATTTCTTTCTTTTTTAAAAAATTTATTACTGAGCCGGGCATGGTGGCACACGCCTTTAATCTCAGCACTCAGGAGGCAGAGGCAGGCAGATCTCTATGAGTTCAAGGCCAGCCTGGTCTACACAGTGAATTACAGGACAACTGGGGCCACAGGGAGACCCTGTCTCAAAAAAGACAAAAAATTATTTGTGCGTGTGCGTGTGTGTGTGAGGGGCATGCATACTGTGGTGTGATATGTAAGTCAGAGGTCAGTTATATGGAGTCAGGTTGCTAGCTTGCATGGCAAGCATTTTTACCCTCTCAGCCATCTCACATACCCTCTATTTTTATTTTATTTTAATGGCTTTTTCTTTGTTTGTTTGTTTGTTTTATTTTCCTGACACAGGGTTTCACTATGTAGACCAGGCTGGCTTGGAACTCACAGAGGTCCAACTGCCTCTGCCTCCTAAGTGCTAGGATTAAAGGCATGCACTATCATACCTGGCTTTCCATTTCTTATCACTAAGCTATCTTTCACACTATGTCCCACTTTCAGACTTCATCTTCTTCATAACTATTTCATTGGGCCAGAAAATCATTTTGCTTAATGATGGATTAAGCAGAAATAATCTTTCTCAGTGAGTGGTGTATATATATCTGCCTTTTACTCTTTAGAATAGTGTTCTTTCCATTGCTGGAAGGGTTCCCTGAAGTCTCTGTGAGGTTTGAGAGGCCATCCTGACTTTCAGACTGAGGAAGAAGGCACCTGGCCTTACCTTTGTAAGGCCAGTTCTTCTGTTACCTCCTTTCATTCCCTACTCAGTTCCATTCTTTATCATCCTACTGTATTATATATTCAGTTCTTAAAATCTTATCTCTGTTCTTTGAGGAGTATGTTCTTCTGCAACAGCTCTAAGATAACTTTGTCAAGTTGGAGTCCAATTTTTGCTTGCTACAAATCTGCTGGAGAGATGACTCAGCAGTTAAGAGTACTGCCTGCTTTGGCAGAGGACCTGGGTTTGGTGCCCAGCACCCAGGTAGCAGCTAACAGCTGTCCATTCCAGGGAATCTGGTGTCCTTTCTTGCCATTTCTCTGTAGGCATTGCATGCATAGGTGCACTTACATACCTGTATGAAAAATGCACATACATATAAAATAAACAGTTCCTTTATTATTTATGATCTGACTTCCTTCACTGGTTTACTTTTATTTAACAAACAAACAAAAATATACCCTTGGTGAACTTCCCATGTCAAATTTAATGACTTTTCCCTGGAATCCTATCTGACTGTTGGTAGCACCTTTTGCTTCTGTGTTGTCTCATTCCTTGGGGTTTGTGTCTCCTGTTCATTTGATGCTTTTTCTCACATCACCTGGTTCTTAAACTTGGGTTCTTCGTACTTCACTTGATCATCTCACAGCTGTCTATACTATTCTTGTTGCCATCTCTACTCGATTCTTGAGGTTTCCTGTGGATGTACTGACTTCATCCAACTCTTTTTCTGACCTTTGCATTTTGCTTCTGACTGTCTGCCTTTGGAATTTCATGACTAATTACAGGATTCACTTACGTCTTACTTAGATCCCAGGTCTGCGCCTCTCTCCAGCCTGCTTATCTTCTTATGTTCCTTGTCTCTGTTAATACCATCACTACCTACCTGGTCCTTTGTGCTAGAAACCTCAGAAGTGACCTTGACCTCCTTCTTGACCATTTTTACTTGCAACAAAGCTTTGGCTATTTGCCTTGTGAAATATTTTTTCCAGTGTTTTTCCTTGCCACTCAGATTTCTTTTTGTTTTTTGAGACAAAGTCTTCCTGTAGCCCCACCTGGCCTGGAACTAGATATATTGCCCAGATTTCACAGAGATCCTCCTGCCTCTGCCTCCAGAGTGCTGGAATTAGAGGCATGCACCCCATACCTAGCCTACCCCCAGATTTCTTTTTCTTTTCTTTTCTTTTTTTGTCTTTTTTGAGACAGGATCTCCCTGTAGCCCCAGCTGGCCTGGAACTTGATATGTAGACCAGACTGGCCTCAAAGTCACAAAGATATGCCTTCCTCTGCCTCCAAAGTGCTGGGACTAAAGGTGTGCACCACTATACCCGTGGCTACCCTCAGATTTCTTAAAGCATAATCTGCTTATGTCATTTCCTCAACCTTAACCGTCTTTATGACTATCTCTTGCATGCTAGGTAAGCACTCCACCTCTGAGCCATGCTCTGCCCCTAGCCTTAGCCTTTTTGACTTCCTGTTGTTTATAGGACAAAGTCTAAAGTCCTTGTTTGATATGAAAAATAACTACAACCTTTCCTTAAAACTGACTTAGAAACTCGTTAAGAACAGTGTCTAGAGTCAAGATCTTTTCTGTGGTACTGAGGGTTGAACCCAAGGCCTTACTTATGCTAGGCAAATGCTCTTCTACTGAGCTACATTCCCTCTTTAAAATTTTATTTGATAAATGGAGCTTACCAAGTTGTCCTGAAACTTGTGCTTCTCCTGCCTCAACTTCCTAATGGCTAGGATTACAGGTGTGTCCCACCACACCCAGCTCAGAGTCTAATCTTAGTAATTTCAGTATTGCCAACAGCAGAGTACAATATAGAATTCTGATTACTTGAGGAGTAGGTATGTTGAAAATGAAATAAAAGAGAGCCCTTAGGCTGGAGAGATCGCTTAGTGGTTAAGAACACTGGGTGCTTTTTCCAGAGGACTAGGGTTTGGTCCCCAGTACCCACATGGTGGCTAACAATAGTCTGTATGTAACTCCAGTTCCAAAGGACCTGACGTTCTCTTCTGACTTCTTCGGGCATTGCATGATACAGGTGCACTTACATACACAGCAGGCAATACACTCAAAAATAAAAATAATAAAATATTTTTTTTTTTAAATTGCAAGGGAGAGTGTGACATGGAGGGGAAGGGGGACGTGGAGGGAGAGAGAGCCTCCTTATTCCACACCAAGTCCCCAGAGTGCCTTTGTTGCTTTGCAAATGATAGATTAGGAGGTGGTGATGAACTTGATTTCTGGAGGCCTGAATTCTGACCCTCTGACACACACTAGCTGTGTCTGTTTCCTCACTTGTGAAGTGCTGGTGATAGAACAACTGACAAAGGGTATATACATGTTATAGCCCCTATTAAATTTGAGATGTATTGTTATTGTGTGTATGTGTATGTATAATATGTGTGGACACAAATGCCATGGAATACATGTGAAGATCGGAGAACAACTTCGTGGAGTCAGTTTTCTCCTTCCAACCTTTATGTGTGTTTCAGGGATTGAACTCAGGTCATCAGGCTTATGTCATTGGGCAGGTGGCAAGCACCTTTATCCATTGAGCCAATTTACTGGCCTATAGAATGTATTTTAATGAATAATAGTAACAATTGACAGTAATAGTTATACTCTGTAATCAGAACTGAGGTATGAGAGTCGTTCTAAGGTTGTCTTCCTGAGAGAACTCTTAGCTTAATCAAGCTACTTTCATTTTAACAATAGTGACTGTATCCATTTCCTATTCACTTATCTGTGGAAAGATAGAGTGCTAGTTTATTTTGTGTTTTTCTGTTCTTAATTATTTTTTATACTTTTTACTGTTATTACTCTTCCTATTCATTTTAAAATTAAGTAAAGCCAGGAGTTGTGAGTATAGCTCAGTAGTGGAAGAGCACTTGCTGGGAATATGAGGCCCTGGATTTAGGCCCCAGCACCACCACAAAGAAAGGAGAGAGAAAAGAAAGAGAAAACAAAGCTAAGCACAGACTATGCATACAAAATGCCATCAAGATTAAGGGTCTGAAGAAAATAGAATCTTAAGAAAGATTGTAAATTCATTCAGTCATTTATCCAGTATTTATGTTTCCTTACTCTACTATGCTCAGTGAGAGTTGGGAAGATTATTAGGACATGGGAAATCAGAATTGTTTCGGGCCCATTTGCCCTCTAGGAAAACTTTTTCAACTAAATGATTTTTTAAAAATAATTGTAGCTTTACATGCAATTGTGACAAAGGATAGAGAGTTCTCTTGAACATCATTATGTGGATTTTAAAGTCTTAATAACAATGAAGGTTACATAGTTTCTTGCATAACTGGTATGAAACTGCTAATAAAGTATTTCATGAATTTGAAAAGATGAGATTACTAAGTTTGCAGCTATAGCAATGAAAATTTGACACAGGTGTATAGTACTCAAGCCAAACCTCAAAGAGGAGTACAGTAGTGTTAGTGGGAGAATAGTGGGTTTGGGGTGAGCCAAGACCCAGACAAGAGGTAGAACCTGGGTACCCTCAGTGAAAACAGATTATCTAGACTTTTGAACTGCCTACTGCCTATAAATTGGCTCTTTCTTCCTTCAAATTTTGAGAATTTAAATTATTATTAATTCCATGTCTAATTGCCTTGATTCTGCTGATTCTGATCTACCAAATTTTTTTTTTTTTTTTTTTTTGTATGTGTGTGTACTTTTAGAGTGAACGGCAAGAGCATAATGACCGGCGGAGACTTGACAACTCTGAGTCAGTATCTAATGGCCGACCCCAGGGTAATTCACGGCAGGTGGTGGAACAGGATGAGGAAGAAGATGAGGAGCTGACACTGAAATATGGAGCCAAGCATGTCATCATGCTCTTTGTCCCCGTCACCCTGTGCATGGTCGTAGTCGTGGCTACCATCAAGTCAGTCAGCTTCTATACCCGAAAAGATGGGCAGCTGTACGTATGTGCTATTCTCAGGCCAGTGTGGCTTTTCCTAACGGTATGTTGTCACCTGTGATGGCCAGAAGCAGTGGAGAGAACAAGGAGTGACAAAACAAATGCTGCAGAGTTTCTCCTGGATGGGTCATTGGTAGGGCTGAATTTGTATGGAATAGAGTCGGTTAGCAGTAGTCTTGCTCCCTGGGGCATTGGGGTCATCATTCTTATTCCTGGCATGTTCTTTTTTTCTAAATTTTGTGAATTGAAATTATATGGTTGGGCAAGCCATGTTAAATCCACAGAGATCCTTCCTGGTGTTCTTTCTTGTAGCATCCTGTTCTCACTGTGTCTCAGGCTGGTCTAGAACTTACTGTGTAGTCTAGGTTGGCCTCAAATTTGCTATCCTTCTGCCTCAGCCTCCTGAATGCTAGGATTACAGGTATGTGCCATCACACCCAGCTTTGTGACCCTGTTATAGAATCTCAGATGGTACACATATTTTCTGTCTCATAGAATAGTGCAGAGGTAAAGCAGTCTAGATTGGTAGCAACCTCTTGTTCATGAAGCACTGGGCTTCTTTCTTCAGCTTCTGTTTTCTAGGTACTTTTAGGTCTCAGAATGGAACCCCAGTCTTTATTCAGACAGCAGGAAGGAGTTGAGAAAAGACATAGGCATCTCTTAGTAGAATGTGCTCCATTTTGAGAAGTTTCTCTGCAACACTTTTGCTTGTAACTCCTTGGCCAGTACTTAGTTTCATAACCACATAAGAGGAGCAGAAGGAAATTTAATGGGCTAGGAACATTGTCACTTGGAATAAAAATATTTTTATGTGAATGAAAAACAAGATGAATGGGTGACATAATTCAAGCTGTAATCCAGCTGTAATCACCCTCAGATAAAAGACAATAATATGCCAGGTGTGGTGGCACATGCCTTTGGTCTCAGCACTCAGGAGGCAGAGGCAGGTGGATCTCTGTGAGTTCAAGGCCAGCCTGGTCTACACAGTGAGTTCCAGACCAGCTGGGGCTACAGGGAGACCGTCTCTGTCTCAAAAAAAAAAAAAAAAAAAAAGATTAAAAGACAATAATACTAACCAAATCATTGCCCCCTAACAATCACTTGTCAGCCTGGATAGTTTATGTAGCAGAACCTGGTTATTTAACAGATTGCTAATAAGCTGTAGAGAAAACCTTGGATGAGGTTGTCATTTCAACACAAAGCATCCACTAGATGGAGCCAATGCCTGGGTCAACGTGAGTCCTCCATATTCTAGTATTTTATTTTACTTTAAAGCAATTACTTTGGAGGATAGCTTTTTCCTTATGCTAAAAATTCTTAACTAGAAGCCAGGCGTGGTGGCGCACGCCTGTAGTCCCAACACTTGGGAGGCAGAGGCAGGCGGATCTCTGAGTTCAAGGCCAGCCTGGTCTACATAGTGGGTTCCAGGACAGCTGGGGCTACAGGGAGACCCTGCTTCAAAACGACACACACACACAAAAATTCTTAACTAGAGCCAGGTCTGGTGGTATATACCTAGCACTTGGAAAGCTGAGACAGGAGGATCACATGTTCAAGCACAGCCCAGGATATGTGGTGAGTTCTAGACTAGCTTGGGTTACATTGCTAGGCTGTGAAAAAAACAAACTGAACAAAAAAATTTTTGTTGACTGCTAGGTTGGGGAAAGGTGAGTTCTAAGGCACTTAGTGAATCAAAAACAGCACAGTTGTGGTTTTGAAAGGAATATGTGGTTTGAGATACCCAACAACAATTTCATGGTGTTTGTGTTTTTGTGTTTTGTAGAATCTATACCCCATTCACAGAAGACACTGAAACTGTGGGCCAGAGAGCCCTGCACTCAATTCTGAATGCTGCCATCATGATCAGTGTCATCGTTGTCATGACTATCCTCTTGGTGGTTCTTTATAAATACAGGTGCTATAAGGTGAGCGTGAGACATGGCTTTGCTTTCTGCCTTGTTCTGTTTATGAGTGGCTTTTATTGTTATTATGCATGTGTGTGTGTGCATGCCTGTGTGTGCCATAGCACATGTTGGGAGGTCAGAGAACAATTTTGTGGAGCCAGTTTACTCTTTCAACCTTAACTTTAATAGAGAAAAAAAAATGTCTTATATTTTGGGCCTAAGCTAATTTTTACAATATCTTCCTCTAAATTGTGGAACATTTTTTAAATACCAAAAGGCATAAATTGAAAGCAAATGTTTTGTGTGAGATCATATGGTTGTAATACATGAACTTCCAATGTGCCTGTGGCTTTCCAAAGGGATATACCCTAAGACTTAGTATATGTTCTCATTCATACATAGCACTGTAGGCTATAATTGTCCCCATAAAACCACCTTCAAATGCTGATGTTGAACTCACTAGCGATTGGCCATACCTCCTTTCAGAACTGCTGTTATGGTCTGTGCATCGTACCTCCTGTAGTAGCACTGCTGTTTTCCTTGGCAAGTGGACACAGGGAGGAGGGGCAGAAAAGACAGACCCACCCTTCTTAGCTTTTCCCCAGCCTTTCTCTCCCTAGTTTGTTCTCAAATTAAGTGAATTAAGTGACTCACTCCTGAATTTCAGCCACCTAGCACATGCTTCAGACTCTGGCCTCAGAAAAAAACAAATCATTATAAGTCATGAACCTTTAAGGTTGTTTTTAAAGAATAGAAATAATAAATGTTAACTTTCCAAATATTACAGTTTACACTATTTCCTTCTAGTATATTTCTGGCATTTATTTATTTATTTTTATTATTTTATTTATTATTGCACCTGTGTTGTGCAATGCCTGCAGAAGTCAGGAGAGGGTGTCAGATCCACTGGAACTGGTATTAGGGACAGTTGTTAGCTGCCATGTGGGTGCTGGAAATTGAACCCAGGTCCTCTGCAAGAGCAGCCAATGCTCTTAACTGCTAGCCATCTCTCTAGCCCCTATTTATTTGTTTTTTGAGGCAAATCTTACCATGTAGCCCTGGCTATCCTGGAACTCGCTGTGTAGACCAGACTGGCCTCAGTCTCACAGAGATCCACCTGCCTTTGCTTCCTGAGTGCTAGGTTTAGAGGCCTGTGCCACCACACGTGCTCTGAATATTTTTAAACATAGTTAAAACATATGGTCAGTGTGTGTCCTTTCTTAACATTTACTTTGGCATAAACATCTTTCTATATTATAAGCTCTTAGAACATATTTTTATGTTTATTATAATACTTGGCTCAGTAAGTATATCATGATTAATGTCTTCTAATTTCTCTGATGTTGGACATTTAAGTTGTTTCTACTTACTATAAAGTGATGTCTTGGCCAGGCGTTGTGGCACACGCCTTTAATCCCAGCACTCAGGAGGCAGAGGCAGGCGGATCTCTGTGAGTTCAAGGCCAGCCTGAATCCAGGACAGCTGGGGCTACTGGGAGACCTTGTCTCAGACAAAAAAAAAAAAGTGATGTCTTTATGCATAGAACTATTTCCTTAGTGTAAAATCTTAGACTTGAAATTTCTGGGGCAAATCATCTACAAATTTTTAACTCGCAAGTGTGCAAAATTGTTTTTTCAAAAAGATTTTATCAGTTTATACTTAACACCAGTAGTAAGAGTATCTTTCTTTTTTTTTTTTTTTTTTCGGTCAGTTTGAGACAGGGTCTCCCTGTAGCCCCAGCTGTCCTGGAACTCACTATGTAGACCAGGCTGGCCTCGAACTCACAGAGATCCACCTGCCTCTGCCTCCCAAGTGCTGGGATTAAAAGCATGCACCACCACGCCCGGCCATCAAGCATATTTTAAAGAATACATTGAGAGCTACTAGTGTAGCTCAATGTAAGATTATATGCTGGTATGGTGGTGTACATCTTTAATCCCAGCACTTGGGAGACAGAGGCAGGTGGATCTGTATGCCATTGAGGCCAGCCTGGTCTACGTTGGAAGTTCCAGGCCAGCTGGGGCCTCAGAGAGACTTTGTTTCAAAAAACAAACAGAGTGGGGCATGGTGGCACATACCTTATTTTCAGAGGCAGGTGAATCTGTGTGAGTTCATTCAAGGCCAGCCTCATCTACATAGTAAGTTCCAGGCCTGCTGGAGCTACAGGGAGACCCTGTCTCAAAAACAAAACAAAAACAAAAAACAAGAAAAGGTTATGTGCTTTTCTGCAGTTTAGCCAGTATAAACCCCTGTGTTCAATCCCTGTCCCGTACCCCGTCTGTCTCCCCCCCCACATCCCCCACCCCCAAAAAAGAATTATATTACCTTGACTCCCCCCCCCCCTTTCCCATTTTTGTTGTTTTTGGTATCCTAATTTGTTATTTTTCACCTCACCTTGGTTCTTTTTTCTTGTTTTTTTTTTTTGTTTTGGTCTTTTGGAGAATGTGTCTCCCTGTAGCCCCAGCTGGCCTGGAACTCACAGAGCTCCACCTTCTTCTGCCTCTGCCTCCAGCTTGTCTAAGAATATCTTTTACATTTATTACTGAAATATATTGCTACTGGCCACAGAATTGTGTCTCAGTTCTTTTGTTTCAGCATTTTAAAAATAATATTCTTTCAATTCATAGAGCTGGTAAATAGTGTTCTAGCTTCCATGGTTTTCCATGAAAGCCTAAGTCATAACTTAATTGTTCCCCTATAAGTAGTGTCTGTTCATTTTAAGATTTTCTTTAGTTTTCTCACCAGTCTTCTTAGACACTACGTATTCTGTGATGAGTTCTAGTCTTGTTTCAGTACTAAGCAGGTATTTACCTATTGCTGGCTAGTTGATTTGGTTGGAATAGATCACACAGTCCAACTAGCTTTCTCGTGTTAGCTTCCAACATAATTCAGTTCAGTTTTCAAAGCCTTTGCAAGCTTCATTCCCAGCTTTGCACACCAATCCCAGCAGAGGCAGGTGGATTTCTGAGTTTGAGGCCAGCCTGGTGAGTTCTGGGGCAGCCAGTGCTACATACCATGTCTCAAAAAGTCAACACAACAACAACAAAAATGCCTTTGTAGTGCTCAGATCTGGGCCACATATGCTACTCAGTTACCACTCTGGGACTCTGTCGTCAGGGTCCGAGTGCTCATAGGAGTCATGTCCACACATGCTTACCTGGGAATGACTTTCAGAGGTGCTTTCTGGTTTCTCTGGTTTCTCTTTTGTGCTTCTCCAGCCAGAAACTGGGACTGTGTTTTCCCAGTATCAGGGCTAAGAGATAGGCGGTCAGAGAGAAATAAAACAAGAGTTGTCTCATTCTCTGATGTCTGTGGTTCCTCTGACCAGAGAGAAGTTTCCCTTCTCCCTAAATCTAAGGCCTCAGCTACCCATTGCTACCTCCCAGAACTAGCCTTCAGAGAATTGAGAAAAGGGAAGGAGCTTCTGGAGCTCTCATTATCTTGTTAATACCAGCATAAGTAGACCCCCAAGTGAAGGAGAATGGTTCTGGGGGTGAAAGTGTTACATTGCTGATGTGGTACCTGGCTTGCCCAGCTCACCTGCCCCTCTACTGTTAGTACTCAGCTAGCTGGAGCATGCTTTCACCCCAGTTTGGTAGTTGCATTCAGTGGGAGAGACACATGGAATGTGCTTACTCTGTCATACGTAGACCAGATCTTAACATATTTTGCTCCAGTTCTGTACATCTTTTAGTTAATGCTAAATTTGAAACCATCTAAATTATTTTTATCCAGCCATATTTCCACACCTGTTCATTTGGGTTGTTTCCTTTTGGTGTTTAATGTTCAAGTCTTAGGAAGCACAGCCAACTTTATGGAAGAATGTTGTTTACTTTGACTGTGGTATAAAGAAGAGTGAGCATTTGAGCCAGACATTGAGAAGCTTGCCAAGACCTGTTCGAAATAAGCCCTAGGGCTTTTCATGTCAGTGGCTTGATTGTGCAGTGTTTGCTAAAAGCTCAAAAAGACCAAACCATCTTTACAGTTGTAGAAGCAAAAGATCATGGCACATCATTTGTTACGGATGGACCTATAGTTTCTAGCCTGGGTGGCTCAGGTTTAGAGGAGGTATGCACTGTTGGGGCTGAAGCAGAACCCCTTGTCTTTCCAAGCCTTTACTCAGAGAAGCTAAAGTAGGGAAGTAGCCAGAGAAAGGTGTGTGTACCTGATTTTCTACAACAGGAGGGTCTATTTAGTCATCAGAAGAGTCTTTGAATTTGGGTAGTAATTTAGAAAATCATAGATGATAACCTAAATGGGAAGACTGTTTACAACCTTATTACAGGCAAATGGCTAATATTTTTACAATATAAAGGATGGTACATAGCAAGTTCTAGGACAACCAGGGCTACGTAGTGAAAAACTGCCTCCAAAAAAGGAGTGGGCTGGAGAGATGGCTCAGCGGTTAAGAGCACTGGGTACTCTTGCAGGGGACCTGGGTTTGGTTCCCAGCACTCACATGGCAGCTAACAACTGTCTGTAACTCCAGTTCCAGGGGATCCAGTGCCCTCTTCTGACCTCTGTGGGCATTACACAGCATGGGTGCACTTGCATGCACGCAATACACTCATACACATAAAATTTAAAAAAAAATTTTTTCAAAAACGAATAAACATCCTAGTAAATACAAGAAATACCTAAACAGAAGTTAAGAAGGGAATATTGGTGGTCAATAAACAGGGTGTGTGTGTGTGTGTGTGTGTGTGTGTGTTTTACTCACTAATGAAAAAAATTGACATTAAAAAAAAATTTTTTTTTGAGCCAGGTGTGGTGGTGCCTTTAGTTCCAGCTCTGGGGAGGCAGAGGGAGGCAGATCTCTCTGAGTTCAAGACCAGCTTGGTCTATATAGTGAGTTCCAGGCTAGCTGGGACTACTGGGAGACCCTGTCTCAAAAAGACCAAAAAAAAAAAAATTATTATTTTATGTATATGAGTGTATTTCCTGCATGTGCACCACCGTGTTGTGCAGTGCCTGCAGTGTTGGATCCCCTGGAAATGAAATGTTACACATGGTTGTTAGCCACTGTGTATGTGTCCTTGGAATCGAACCAGAGTCCTCTGCAAGAGCAGTCAGTGCTCTTAACTGCTAAGCTGTCTCCAGCCCCCAAATTAATACAAATTAAAATATCAGATTAACATTTGGCATATTGACTTGATAAAGATTAATCTACTCATTTTTTGAACTGTTAGATACTATATATTAGTGATCAGCAATTAGGAAACTTTGTACACTGCAGTAATTTTTTTTTTTTTTTGGTCTTTTTGAGACATGATTTCTCTACAGCCCCAGCTGGCCTTGAACTCACTATATAGATATGTAGACCAGGCTCTCCTTAAACTCACAAAGATCTGCCTGCCTCTGCCTCTTGAGAGCTGGGATTAAAGTTGTGTACCACCACGCCCAGCTAACTGCAGTAATTTAAAAAAATACTTTATTATTTTTATTTTAAATGTATGAGTGTATTGCTTGCATGTGTGTAGTGTACCCATGTTTTGCAATGCCTGGGGAGGTCAGAAGAAGGCATCAGATCCCCTAGAACTGGAATTACGGACAGTTGTTAGCCACCATGTGGATGCTAGAAATCAAACCCAGGTTCTTTTCAAGAGCAGTGCTCTTAACCACTCCAGCCCCACTGCAGTAATTTTAAAAAAAATTATTCTGTTGTAAGAATTGAAAATCCAGAAAAAGAAACATGTACTAGAGCTTTTGTGTTAATACAGATAATTGGATAAGGGGAGAAATAGATCAAATATATGCACAGTACAAATTCTGTAGGGAAAGATTAAGTTGTAGATTTATATGTATACACACACATATATATATGTATATATGTGTGTATATATATGTGGGATATTACAATTTAAAAATTGTGTTTTGAAAACATTTGGTATGGTATGTGGAATGCCTGTAGTAGATGAAGTTTAGCCGGCTGTGATGGCACACCCCTATGAAGCCCAGACTAAGAGGATCATGAGTTTGTGGCCCACCTGGACTCCATACTCAGGTATTGTCATTCTCCCTCAAGCCAGGTTATTTATTTATTTATTTATTTATTCATTTATTTATTTATTTATTTTTTGGTCTTTTTGAGATAGGGTCTCCCTGTAGCCCCAGCAGTCCTGGAACTCACTAGTAGACCAGGCTGGCCTTGAACTCACAGAGATCCGCCTGCCTCTGCCTCCGCCTCCACCTCTGCCTCCGCCTCTGCCTCCCAAGTGCTGGGATTAGAGGCATGTGCCCCCATACCCACCTTCAGATTATTTTTAAAAACATAATAATATAAAATTATTGTTTGATTTGAATTTTGTTAACAGGTGTGTTTATAGATGCCTACATTAGCAGATAGAAAATTTGTGAAAGGGAAATGTTAATTTTTCTTCTTTGGTTTTTTTTTCTATTCTAAATTCTATAAGCATTTGTTGCTTTTTTTTTAAATTCCTGTAATACTGAGAATTGAACTCAGGGCCCCTCTGCATGATAGGCATGCACTCTGCCATTGAGTTATAACCCCAGCATCATTTGGTATTTCTGTCAGAATTTTTTTAAATTTATTTTTATTTATTTTGATTTTGTGCATATGAGTGTTTTGTCTGCATGTAAGTGCACCTGGTGTTGTGCAATGCCTGTGGAAACCAGAAGAGGACATCAGATGCCTGAAACTGGCATTACAGATGGTTGTTAGCTGCTTTGTGGGTGCTGAAAACCAAACCTGTATCCTCTGAAAGAGTAGCAAGTGTTCTTAACCACTGAGCCATCTCTCCAGCCCATGTCAGAATTTTTAAAAAAACAATTTAAAAAAAATGTATATAAGCCAGGCGTGGTGGCGCACGCTTTTAATCCCAGCACTCAGGAGGCAGAGGCAGGCGGATCTCTGTGAGTTCAAGGCCAGCTTGTTCTACATAGTGAGTTCCAGGACAGCTAGGGCTACAGGGAGACCCTGTCTCAAAAAGACCAAAAAATAAAAGTATATAAACGTGAAATTTAAAGTTTTTTAACTGCTGGATTTTTAAGTTATGTATGTGGGTATGTACACGTGAGTGTAGGCTCATGGAGGCTAGAGGCCTTAGATTTCCTGGACAAGGAGTTACAGGCTCTTGTGAGCTGCCTGTTGTGGGCGCTGGGAACCAGATTTGGGTCCTCCAGAAGAACAGTACATACTCTAACCACTGAGCTATCTCTCCAACCCCTTTATTGCTGTTTTTTTCCACTTGTGGGACAGAGTAAATAATAGAAACTGTCATCCTTGAGAAACTTTTTATTTTTTAATTTTTTGACAAGAGAACACTTAGATGTCTATAGTTTATTTTAGAATATTTTTTTCCTTTTAATACCTGTTTCTAAATGTAATGTTTCTGTTTTATGCCTTGAGTAATTCAGCACCAGAGTTCATATAACTGTTCAGTGATCCCAAAGCTGTAAATGTTCTGCCATTTAAAAGCAGAATATGGGGGCTGGAGAGATGGCCCAGAAGTTAAGAGCACTGACTGCTCTTGCAAAGGACCCAGGTTTGATTCCCAGCATCCACATGGTGGCTATGAACCACCCTTACCTCCAGTTCCAGGGGAATCCGAAGCCCTCTTCTGAACTTCACGGCATTGCACGACACAGGTGCACTCACATACATGCAGGCAATACACTTATACATATAGAATAAAAATAATAGGGGCTCGAGAGATGGCTCAGCGGTTAAGAACACTGGGTGTTCTTGCAGAAGACTTGGGTTCAAATCCCAGCACCCACATGGCAGCTAACAACTGTCTGTAACTCCAGTTCCAGAGTATCCAACAGCCTCTTCCTGACCTCCACAGGCATTGCACAGCACGGGTGCACTTACCTCCATGTAGGCAATACATGCATACACATAAAATAAAAATAATAAATTAAAATAAATAAATAAATAAAATATTTTAAAAGCAGAACATGGGCAGGGGATGCCTCTCAGTGGTATCCCAGTTGCCAGCATGTGCCAGGCCCCAGGTTTCATCCCTGGCACTACAAGAAAAACCAGAAACCAAACAAAAAGCCCAGAGCATTGACCTATACACTGTTTTCTGAACTAAATTTCATTGTTTAGGAACTGTGGGATCTGTCAGTTATATTTAAATGATTTCTTTTCTAGGTTATCCATGCCTGGCTTATTGTTTCATCTCTGTTGTTGCTGTTCTTTTTTTCATTCATTTACTTGGGGTAAGTGATAAAAATTTTGGCACCTTTTCCAGACATTTACTGTTTAGGCTTTATTATTGCCCTTAGAGCCGTGTACCTCGTTGATGAATTCCACTTGTCACAATTATTTCTGCATGTGTCATATATGATATATAAGGACAAGTAGGTTTGATAAGGATGTTTTTCATGTCTTCTTATTTCTTTTTACTGTATATGTGCACATGCCCTTGTATACATGAGTGGAAGGAGGTGAGAGGACAACTTCTGGGAGTCAGCTCTTTCCTTCAACCATGGGTTTCGGGTATCAAACTCAGGTTGTCAGGCTTGTGCCGAGGCAAGCACTTTTACCCACTGAGTCATCTTGCTGGCCAAGTAGAGAGGTTATATTGTTTTTTAATGCCTGGCGTGGTGGCGCATGCCTTTAATCCCAGCGCTTAGGAGGCAGGAGCAGGCGGATCTTTGTGAATTCGAGGCCAGCCTGGTCTACATAGTGAGTTCCAGGACAGCTGGGGCTAGAAGGAGACCCTATCTCAAAAAAGACAAAAA